CTGAGTTTTGCAGGGAAAACTGCTCAGTCCACAGAGCTTTAAACCAAATTGGGATCAAAATGCTTTATTGATCTGTCAACAATATGGAATTGAGCAGCAATGAGTGAAGTGTTGCATTCAAGTAGTAATGCAACAAGTAGACACATTCATTTTAATTAACACCAGTAAATTTATAAACACGCCCTGCAACAAATGCAAGAGATTTCTGAAATGCTACAAGCTTTCTGACCACACATGCACATTATTTTTAATACTTGTGTGCATCAACTCTGAATCAATTCTGAAACAGATTCAGAAAAAGAAAACCCTGTTTCCACTTGCAACCTTTTTGATGTGTCTTCTTGAAAGTGTTTTTTGTAGCTGACAAACCCCTGGCATTTCATGCAAATAATGGTGTCATTTTTATTCAAGTAAGTGTGAGTTCAAGGAAGAGAATAGAACAGAAAAAAAGTCTTCACTGCGAGGGTGGTGAGACACTGGAATAGAGTGCTCCAAGAAGCTATGGACGCTCCATCCCTGGAAGCATTTAAGGCCATGTTGGATGGAGCTCTGAGCACCTTGGTCTAGTGAAAGGAAGGACAAATTCCCCTGTCTACAGTGGGGGAATCAAAACTAGGTGATGTTTAAGGTTTCCAATCCAGGCCATTCTATGATTCTATGAATAAAACAGAATAGTTATGAAGTGTTAAGCCCAGCATTATGCATGACAAACTCTGATGTAGAAGTGAGGGGTCCATCCAGGACAGCATCTCTCTGCTTTGCACATCCCAGGCCCATCCAGCACACAGGACATGTGCTGGACACACAGGACAGAGATGGACACAAAAGGGGAAAAGTGCACTCTAGAAGAATATAATAAGAAATAGTGACTTCCTTAAAAAAAGAAAGAGACTACTCCTGACTGAAGTAATTTAATCTAGAAATTATTGAGAAGAAAAAAATTTTCCACCACCTTCCTTTGATTTCCTAGAGCAGACATGTGCCTTTAAATGTGTGAAAAGAAATTCCTCAGCTCTGGAATTTAAAATACCTTCAAGGTGAGAATAAGCTAATTTGCTCATTTTCCATCCAAAGAGACATAATTCATCTTTGCTCTGGATGGGTGATGGTGGTCCACTTATAATTGTGTGATACTACATTGCATTCAGTCTCCACATCCTATCCTGTGATACAGTGATCACTAATAGATCAGTTCCCAGAGAAGTAAGATAGAGGATCAGCAGAACTGACCTGGACTTCTGGAGGGCAGAGTTTAGCCTCTTTAAGGGCCTGATTAACACTGTCCCAGGAGGGAGTACTGAGGGGCAAAAGGGTTCAGGAAGGCTGGTCATTCTTCAACAGGGAAATCTTAAAGGCAGAGGAGCAGGCTGTCCCTATATGCAAAAGATGAACCAGTGGGGAAAACCAGATAGCTTGGGCTAGAGCTCAGTCTGAGATACTTAATGCCTTCTTTGCTGCAATCTTTAACAGTAAGTTCAGTTGTTCTTGGAGTATCTGGCCTCTTGAGCTGGAAGACAGGGACAGGTAGCAGAATGAAGCTCCCATAATCCAAGGGGAAAGGGTCATCAACCTGCTACACCACTTAGACAAACACAAGTTTGTGGGGCTGGATGAGATCCATCCAAGTGTACAGAGGGAGCTGATGAAAATGCTCAGCAAGCCACTATCCATCGTTTATCAGCAGCCCTTGCTGACCAGGGAGGTCTGAGTTGACTGGAAGTCAGCAAATGTGACACATCTTTATGAGGGGCTGGAAGGATTTGGGGAACTACAGGACTGTCAGTCTAACCTTGGTGCTGGGGAAAGTTAGTGAGCAGCTCATCTTGAGGGCCAGCAGGTGCAGGATAACCAGGGGATTAGGCCCAGCCAGCATGGGTTGACCAGCCTGATCTCCTGTGACTTTGTAACCCACTTAGTGAAGAAGGAAGGGCTGTGGATTTTGCCATCTGCCCTTCAGGAAAGTCTTTGACACCCTTCTCACAGCATTCTCCTGGAGAAACCAGGTGCTCGTGGCTAGGACAGGCACTGTTCACTGGATAAAAAACTGTTTAGATGGCTGATCCCAGAGAGTGGTGATGAATGGTGCTACATCCAGCTGTTGGTCAGTCACAAGAGGTTCCAGTCCTCTTTTGGGACCAGTCCTCTTTTGTATCACTACTGACAGTGCAGGTGAGGGGATCGAGTGTACCCTCAGTCAGTTCATGGACAACACTAAGGTGAGCAGGAGTGCTGATCTGCAGGAGGGCAGGAAGGCTCTGCAAGGGAATTTGGACAGGCTAGATTGATGGCCCAAGGCCAATGGTCTGAGGTTCAAAGCAAAATGTTGGGTCCTGCATTTGTGTCACAACAATCCCATGCAGGACTGCAGGCTGGGGCAGAGTGGCTGGAAAGTGGCCCAGCAGAAAAGGACCTGGGGGTGCTGGTTGACAGCAGGTGAACACGGGCACAGTGTGTACCCCAATGGCCGGGAAGGCAAAAGACAGCCTGGCTTGGATCAAGGACAGCGTGGCCAGCAGGACTGTCACTCTGTACTGGGCACTGGTGAGGTCACACCTTGAATCTTGTGTCTAGTTTTGGGTCCCTCATGCCAAGAAGGTCATTGAGGTGCCGAAGCAAGTCCAGAAAAGGGCAATGGAGCTGGGGAAGGGCCTGGAGAGTGAGTCCCATGCAGAGTGTCTGCGGGAGCTGGGGTTGCTTAGCCTGGAGGAGGCTCAGAGGGGGGGTTTTGTCACTTTCTACAGCTGCCTGCAAGGAGGCTGTAGCTAGGTTGAGGTCAGTCTCTTTTCACAAACAAGCTACAGCATGATAGGAAATGGCCTCAAGTTGCACCAGAGGAGGTTTAGATTGAGTATGAGGAAATTTTTTTTGCTGAAAGGTTTGTCATTGGAACAGGCTGCCAATGGGAAGTAGTAGATTCATCATCCCTAAATGTATTTAAAAGGTACCGAGAGATATTTAAAAGATGTGTATATGTCACACTTACAGACATGGTTTAGCAATGTCTTAGAGTAGACCCAGTGCTGGGTTAATGTTTTGACTCAATGACCTTAAAGGTATTTTCCAACCTAAACGATTATTTAAGTTTCTTTAATATGCCTTTTCTTTATAAAGACAGAACTTCCTGATTGTTGATCGTGCTTATAGAAACTCAGGCAAGGAGAACTCCTGGGAAGAAGAAATATATAGAAGCCAATGATGCCTTCTCTGGTCTAAGCAAATTTGAGGGGTTTGTACATTCAGTCAAGGAAAAAAGAAACCAAACTCTGCCATCCCATCCCCAGAAGGGTGACCTTTTCACCAGATTAAAATATTTTGACACTACAATGCATGCAAGTACTTGACCATTACTATCTAGTAAGAAAATCCATCACAAAAGGTATTGCATTCTCAAACACCATGCCATCAATGCCAGCATCTTAAGACAATATGAGCTTCCATCTGGCAGGTGCCATCTGGAGCCCTGGGAATCATATCCAATTCTCCTAACAAGTTAAAATATGCTACAGCACTCTACAAAGAAGAAAAGCACCATTTCTACTTGCATCAGACTGGAACAATTGCAGGCTTTTAGGGACAACTGTTTCAATTTTGCTTGGCAGAATTTATTAGTTTTTCTAGCTTAAACCATCTATCATTTATTTCAAATCAGAGCCCAGAATGCTTTCATAGGAGTCCCTGACAGGCATTTTGAGACATGGAAGTTTTCCATTTAAACTTCAAAAGGATGTGGTATTACCCAAACTGATGACCGGGATTGTGCCAAGAGGCAGCAAGATTAAGGCACAGAGCAACTCTTCCCTGGTCCTGCTGAGATGAAGGTACTACCAAACACTTTCAGCTCCACTGCTGCATGCCCTCAAGTGTTGTCACAACTAAAGGCTAGGAGAATAGGAAAATGCTGTCAGTGAAAACTGCTTGTGAAAGTCAGATCAGAAACACACAAGTAAACCTCAGTAAATCCCACAAGAGCTAGTCTAGATATTCACTCAGCAAAACAAAGCACAACTCCTTGAGCTTTATAAAGACATAGCTTTATAAACCTAGGGGGAAAAACATGGTTCTGTTTGATTCTGTGATGTTTTCTTCCAGGAACCACACATCCCTATTGCCATGGTACTGCACTTCAGCTTCTACGGTGCAGCAGGTCTGTGCAGCAACTTTTCATTTCAGGAGAGGCACCTCAGAAAAAAATCTGGGGGCATCTGGCTTGGCTCTGTCAGCAGAGTAGACATGTCTTAAGAGAAGCAGCCAAATTAAAGTGTTGAATAGAAGGTAGTGTTCTGAGAAGACATATTAAACAGAAAGAGGACACCAATGACAAGGAGAATACAGAGAATGCTGGAGAAAGGTCTTAGATAAGAAAGGAGTACAATCTTTTATGCTGCAAGAGCCCAATTCAGGTAAACAAGTAAGATAATTTGCAGTTAAAGGAAAAATGTAGTTCTAGTTACATTTCAAGTTATGATAACATATGTTAAGTCCTAAATGTACTATAATCTATTGCTAAGAAACTGTCAAACAGTTTTAAGGAGAATTGCACTATAAATATAGGAGGATTACCACAAAGCATGCAGAATCCAATTGTGCTTAACTGATAAAAATCACTTGCAATGCTAATTGTTTTTTGCAGGTATTATATTTGTTTTATTCAATTTAAAAGCAATTACTCTGATTAATTTGCAATTAATACAATACTAATTAACAAAGCATGAGTTTAATTCTTTCCTAGCAAAGAAGTAGGAACCAGGCTAAAAGAGTATGATGGCATAACTGTTCATGATTTCAATTTTACATAATCTAGCACTACCCAGTTACGTTTAACCTGAGTACTTTCTTCAGCCAGAGTGAGAAGCACTGGAGCAAGCACAATAGGGATTTTTGTGGTTTGTGCGGGGTTTTTTCGGGACAGCAGCATTAACACAGAGCAAAATGACAGTCTGAAACCCATTTGGTTCGGTATAAGAAAGGAGACAATGACGAGAAACCTTGCACAACTCAACTAACTACAGAAGATATCTCATTTATTTAATCAGTTAATTTTAAATTAATAACATTTGTTAACTTTTTGCCTATGTATGCAGCACATTCAGCATTACTTTACATAACTTGTAACTTTAAAGTGTTGCATCTCATTACTAGCAAAACTCAGTTTGACACAAAGTGAGGAGAAAAAAAAGGAAACAAATACCAGTCAGCATATTTACCATTATAACATAAAAAAATCAGCTATCTAAAGAACTGTCTAACAAGCTGCAAAGTCGTTTAAAAGTGAATACAGTGTATTTTCATTAAGTCAGAGGAAGAACCAAATATAATGTAAAAAGCTGTATCTAGTTACAAATCTGTACTTTAAGGGTTACAAATTGAGGAGAACCAACCTTTCAACAAAAAAAATCTTTGTCTATCACAAACAATAACCAATAATTAAAAACAACTGTTTAACCTGTATTGCTTGTAATCAGCAACTTCACACAGACTTGATATCCACACTTGAAACGAGTTACAGAAACTGCAAAGTTTCAGGCAGTAAAATGCAACTTGTACAGTAACGGTTTTAAGACTCTTTACAAAGCACTCCATACTGAAGAAACTGGCAGAAGAACACAAGCTGCTTTGGAATTCCTCTTAAGCCCATCTGTTTATCAAGCTACTGGATAAAAAAGCAAGGATCTCAGAATCCTATATACTAGGTGTATAAATATTTCTATTACAGGCCTCCCAAAAATTAAGCCATGAACTCTGTAGAAGGCTTAATTAAGCATGTGACAAAGTCAGGGTGATTTGTCTAAGGAACAGGCAAGAGAGATTAGTTAAGCGCTAAAATTATCCTTATCTGGTGCAAGTGACCCCATGTTAACAGGGATATCAGATTTTTCCTAGAGCCACAAATAGAGACTGAATTCTGCCCAAAACCAGTAATAAAAAAATCTTTAGGAAAAAGTTCACATAGCAAGTTTAGCCACTGCTGATTAACTGTAAGTAGGTGCTCTACACTGACAGGCTTTGTTTCATGATATAAATGGCTTTTCAAACTACTGAAAGGACAATTATAGTAATGATTTGTGAAACAGTATCAAAAGAACATCAAGCACAGACTGGATTCCTTCCTTTACTCTTCAGGCGATGCACACTAAATGAGGGTTTCCAGGAATATCCATGTTTTTTTAATCTTCTAAAAAAACATACCCAGACAATTCCAACCGTCTCACCTTTGAGAAGAGCCACAAAGATGATCAGAAGGCTGTAGCACCTCTCCTGTGAAGACAGGCTGAGAAAGTTGGGATTGTTAAGCCTGGAGAAGAGAAGGCTCCAGTGAAACCTTAGAGAACCTTGCAGGACCTAAAGGAGGTTTACAACAAGGCTGGAGAGGAATTACAAAGGCATGTAGTGACAGGACAAGGGGAAATGACTTCAAACTGAGAACAGGGTTAGTTTAGATATTATAGGAATACATTTTTACTCTTAGGGTGGTGAGGCACTGGAAGAGGTTGCCCAGAGAAGCGGATGACAGCCCATCCCTGGAAGTGTTCAAGGCCTGGTTGGATGGGGCTTTGAGCAATCTGGTCTAGGGAAAGGTGTCCCTTCCTATGGCAGGCAGGTTGGAACTGGATGATCTTCAAGGTCCTTTTCAACCCAAACCATTTTATGAGTCTACTGACACCAACAGTGTACTATAGTATTGTATTTTTTAGTCAAAACTCTAAATTAAGGATAATTCTGAAATAGCCTTGGCCATTGACATGTAAGAACAGCTTAAGGCAAACTATAGTATGGTAGTCAAAACACAAAGAGAAGATGGTGTGTAAGCATCCAAAGCAAGTGAAAAAATGCATGGCAACTTTACTCTTCCTGAGTTTACCACCCTTTATTTCTGCCCTTCTGAAGGTATTCTCCAAGCAGCTGATTATAGGACTAATTTTAAAATTCCATCTGGAACAGAAGGAAAGCCTTTTGTTCCAAGTATATGACTTAAGTAATATTCCACTTTAAAAGCTGAGCTATGAAAGTATTCTTCAGGTGATGGCCTGAAGAATAATTTCATCTGAACCAGTTCTAGAGTACAGTATAGGCTTCTATTAAGACCTGACATTAAAGCAAGGGCTAATTTTGCTAAGACATGTCAAATATTTCCTAGTATGCCTGCAGAGGCTACTTGGCCTTGTGACCAACTGCTGTACCTAAGTCTTGTGGTTGCCATCTGTGACTTACAGGAGTACTCAAAGCACATTAATTTTACAGGCCCTTCCTGACTGAAAAAAACCCGTGTCTCAGGCAGTATTCACAAAAAACCCCAACTAATAATCAAAGCCTGGTACTTGCCCAGTATTGTGATAAGAGTAGCAGTGGGGTAATATTAGTAATCAACCTACTCCCCAAGAAAACAACTTACAGTTAAATATATTACAAATTGAGTTTAACATATCAAAAGTTGAGAAATACCCCGCTTCAAAAGAGTCACAGCCTATCAGTATAAAGGAAGAATATAAAACTATTTTATTGACCACTGTTCACCAGTATTTACAATAAAGTAAACAATATACAGTCTGATAACATTCAAATTACTACAAAGTTAGTTTTCACCTGGTCTTCTTAAGACCAAGTGATCCCAAATACTAAAAAGAATGACCCTACAGGTTTAAAGGGCTAGGTTTGGGTAAAGAAGATACATGCACATCAATAGTATAGAAGACTACAAAACATCTGTGAGTTTGTTTAGACATTCATTATGATTCTGTAATAACTATGGAAGTTCATCAATGTTTTATAAAACCTTTTACCTAATATGGAGGAAGTAGTAGTATCAAATGCTCTCTTGTGATAAATGAAACAAGTTGCAGAAAGCTTTTATTTACTTGCTGTTGATGCAAAACATACTACTTCAAAAAAATATCAAATTTGAAACTTGTTAGAATGTATGCTTCTCACATTGCTAATAAATCAAATTTCAGGTTTTAATATTCTTATATATAAAAAAAGCAATGCAAACAATTATTGTGCTTCATCTTCTGGGCATGAATGCCAAGTTAGCCGTTCTTCATAAAAAGCGATTACGATCTGAGGACACTTCACATTAGCTTCTTTGGCCAGCACCAGATCTGCCTCATCAGAATCTTTCCTGATGTAGAAGAGAGCAGGATTTAAGAAAATAAATAATCAATATTTGAAAACATTTAGCAGCTCTTGATAAATCCTAAGTTCCAAAAAGAACGTCAGCTAGAAAACTTGGTTCATTTTGTGTCTTAAAGACTAATCAAGGCCTCAAAGACTTAACAGGACCAATCTTAAGAGCTGGTACGTACATGCAAATTACATTTACTCTCTATGCAAATAACTTCCTGTATTTCATACTGTTATTCTTGATGCTGTCTTGGGGTAACAAAGCAAGCCTGCCAGTCTGACATGCTTCAGAATCCATTTTAAAGTGTATGCTCCCTGTAAAAGTCAGCTTTGTGCCTACAAACTCCTATCTGTTTGTTACCTAAGACCAAATATGAAAAACTAATCAACTGCAACTGAACAACAGCAAAAAAACAAGTCCTCTGTGTTTGATTTTGCCAATTCTCACTACAGAAATTCAAACACTCATGATCTTTGTTTTGAAACTTTTCTAAGTTTCACATAAAATTTAGAGAATTTGAGAAGGCAGAAGGGAGACAATCTCCCACAGCACTAATCTTCAGGAGTCTAGGCATATCCCACAACAAATCATGTCTCAGGAGATCACTCCTTTTGACTCCAGTCTGAAAATCTGCCCTTATCCCACCACCTTAAGGAATCTGACTCTCAGCAAAAGTCAATTCAATCTCTTGATTTCTCAACACTGGGAAGAAGCACTAATTTTATCCCATTTGTTCACAAAGCAAGAAATCCTTCTCTAACACTGTAGCTAATGAAGCTGGTCCCCATCTACCCTCCCAACAACACAAACTCCCCACATCACTCTCCCCTCTTACTAGCCCATTATGTCAAGCCTCTCTATATTGTTTATTCTTTATCTCCACCTCTGCTTTCTCCCCTAGTTGCTTCCAAATTCCACTTTGATGCATGCAGAACAGCTGGCACTATGCTTGGTTAAACAGCAGGCTATCCAGAAGCTGGCTTTTGCTTACTGAAACACGTAAAGCTGCATTTCTGCCTGCCATTCCCTCTGCAAGAACATTACCAACATCCAGTTTTTCCATACAAATGCCAATTTCTCCCTATTTTATCAAAAACTACCTTTCAAAGTAAAACTGAACCAACAGAAATGAAATATATTTTGGTTTTGAATGAAGAGGGATTAAGTCCTAATTGAAGATAGCAGGCTTGTTTTTCTAAGAATACAAGGTTAATAAGGAGACCACTAGCTTCTACGTCTTATTCCTGGAATGAAGTTGTCTCTTTAGCCTAAGTGCAGCTGCCTGCCCTCCCTTTATGGACAAGAACTGTGGATGTAAGACTTACCATTTCATGAGGAACATAAGCTCTCCACTGCTATCCGTAGCCCCAATTATCCTCTCGGGATCAAGACCCCTTGCAAACCCTCTTGGTTTATCAACCTAGTAAGTTAGAAGATGGTTATCTAGTTTAAGACAAACTTCTGTTTTGATTCTAGATACAGAAACTTTTGTACATACATGTATGTGTCTCTGTGTGTATCAGAACAAAAAAATATAGCCTTAAAAATCCATCACATCTATAATTACGTATTATTGTTTAAAGATGATGTGGATTTTTTTATCTCCAGGCCAAGTCATTTAGAGGGAGGGTAATAATAAAGGCTTTTATATCCATATTCCCAGCATTTATTTCTGAAAACATAATAGATGAAACAAATGGTCTAAAATAATTTCACTATATAAACAAACAAGCCTGGTTAGTAAAAATAACAAAAGCAGCAAAGTAAAAATGCACACCTGGAAGTGGAAAAAACACATCCTTTTCAGCAAAACAGACTTGGGTTGGCTAAACCAACAATGAAGCTGCACCCTTGGGGAACACCTCAACTCTTCTTGGCTCACTGACATCGCAATAGTGACAAAAAGTACTACAACTATTTCCTGTATTAGCTCTTTTATAGGTTCACAGTATCCTTTTCGAGATAGTGGCCACTGCTGTACCAGATGAAGTCGAACAACTGACTCTACACAGAAAGCAAAATATTCTTTCTTTTATTCATGAACTATTCTTTCTGATGCCTACCAACCTTTTTGACAGTAACCACATGCCCAGCTGCCTGCTGTCTTCAGTCCACGAAAATGATTGGCAGTGTTAGTGGTTTCAAACTGCTAGTTCAAAAGTTTACGGAAGAAAACGTGAACTATTGAACACACTATTACGTGTGCATTATTCTGTACTTATTAGCACTAAATGTGTCAAGTTTACTCATTTAAAGTGAAGGAGAAATCCAGACCTCTCAGGTAAGCTTTTTTCACTCAGCCCTTCTACTCCTTCTCCACCATCGTGTCTGGTCCTAGTTTAAGTAACTGACTGGTTTTCACATTTTGCCATCTTGCCACTCACATATTCAAAATCATGCTAAATATGGCAGCAAACCAGAACTTCATCTTCGTTCCATTCATGCACCTTTTGCTCTAATCTAAACCTATCACTTAATACCGTTAATTAGTAACTCTTAACCAGTCTTACTTTGAATTATTCAGTGTGTGTTATGGGACAATGTACGAACTTTTAATCATCACGTCAGTCAGTCATATTTTACTAACCATTTGGACAGTCTCATTAACCACAATGAAAGCATACCCTTTTCAAACCACAGATCCAAATGCTATGAATTTTTTTCAGTTTTAAATCAGTGTTCAGTATTCATTCTCAACATCACAATATGATTTTTGGGGGATGGAAAGGTAGGGGAGAGATGCAGGGAAACAAAAGCTTAACACATGAACACATACTTACAGAATCACGCTTTTTCTTTGATTTACTATCATCAGATTCGCTATCTGACAAAGATTTTCTTTTTGCACCATCTGTTTTTTCTTTGCCAGCTTTCTGAGAGTTCAGAAAAGCTTCAATTAGCTCTGGACAATCTAAGTTCTCTTCAGGTTCCCATGTGTTGTCAGCACTGAAACATACACACATTTACGTAAAACTAGGTAAAGAAGAAAAATGTAAAACTAGCCCCGTGGCTCCCCTTAAATAAGCAACTTAATTTTTGTCTCTCTAAGGTAGCTTTGTTAAACCCTCAGGACGTTTATCTTGCCACTTTTAGTAGCCTTCATGTACTGCATTTGATGATTGAAAGGATGCTCCACTAGTATTGAAAAACAATGCTCTTAACCTGAAGGTAACACAAAAAGCAGCTCCATTAACACCTGTGCTCTCAGTGGGGTATGAGAGCTGAAACAAGCAATCTGCACCCTACCAAAACTTACCTGCCCATTTAAACTGACTCACTTCTCTGGTTCCTCTAAAGACTGTCATGAAAACAATATGACACGAGCACTAGTATTTACAGAGAACATTAAAACCAGCTTAATATATACATATATATACATAAGCTTTCATATATGAGAAACACTCAAAAGCTGTCTCCAAGCACTGAACACAACTATATGTAGAACTATCTGCTTCCTTCAGTTTACTGACTGAAGGAGGGAACAAAGGTGGCTGAGCTGGGCACTGCATATGTTTCAGTGAGTGTGCACTTTGCTAACTAAAATTTTAAGAAGTCCACAAGTATTTCCCAAAACCACTATGCATCTCATGAGCAAATACTGGCACAGCACTACCACACCAGCAGGATACCTACAAATTATTTTCCATTACAATACTGTATTATTACAAGTTCAAATCAGACCCTCAGATACTAAATACATTGTGCTTTGTGTTTATGCACACATCATTACAGACATTTCAGGTGCCAGAGTGCACAATGTTGCAATGCACTCACTTTGGGAGGTATGCAACAATATCACTGCATACATAACCATTTATGCACAAATTCAAGGTGCATGATCTTCTTTCAGCTGGTAAAGCAAGCTGCCAAAGTGTCACTGGAAGGAGATACAACTATGTTCCTTAAACAATCAGCTTCTTAAGTCTACTGTAAAGTTTTCATGTACATATGTAAGTCCCAGGAAAGATACTCAAAAGTTCCTTTCAAATGCTTAATGAAGGCAACCATTCCACAGACAAATTCAGTCAATTTGAGAAAAGTTCAGGAAAATTAGTAATAAGCAAACTCTGTGCTTCAGAGCTGCCTGCAGTTTACATTCCTGCATGATTTGTTACTCTGAAGTACCATTCATTCTGCTATATATACAATAACTGTCAGTCTATCTTACCTTGACAGCTCTGGACACAAGCTCAAGAGCGGTAAAAGAACAATCACTAAGAACTTGGTAGAAGTCCTCAAGTATTTTATATAACACCAACAATGAAGTAAATTATCTTCTATTTTATTTTCATACTTGACTGTCCCACTTGACTATTCATTTATGGATGCCCTTCCCTCAAGGTTCTTTGAAGTGGATGCCCATCATCCAATCTCCTGTTTGCACTGTTTTTTCAAATCAATGGTGTTTATCATTCTATCAGAAAAAGAAAAAAAGGGAACGCCTTACTCTGTAAATCCTTTCCACTTCAAGTAGTATTCCACCTTTCCATTTACAACACGTCTGTCCAGGACTTTCTCCACAACAAACTCTTCAGGCTCTGCCTCTTCAACTTTTTTACCTTTGCCATTCTGTTTCTTTCCCATTTTGTGCTAAAAAAGAAATTCAGAATGACATTATTCTTTTTTTTCTTTACAGAGTTACTTCACTGGCTTATTAACACTAAAGCCAGAAGCTCAGACTCCTTTCATGTTAGTGCATGTGGTCAGGTAACCTGAGCAAGACATGTTAATCTTTTGGGTTTTTTTCAGTTGCTTAATGAGATACCCAACACCAGTTTTTAAAAAGGTGACAATTTTTTTGTCCACATACTCAGTGACTATACTCCCCTTAAAAATTTAATTCTCAGTGCTACGTGCTCAAAACATCAGAGAGCTTCTAAAAGTTAACTCTATGCCTGTGAAAAGGCAGAGGGCAAGGCAGAAGTAAAGAGAAGTAATAAGGGAACTGTGAAAATGCATAAAATAGAAAAGGGATGGTACTGAAAAAAGGTGGTTTCTACCTTTTCCAAAAAAAAAAGAAGGAGAAACTGATGGCAGCAAAGTTCATGATGTACTGCTACAATAAGCAAAACACTCAATAACCCGCAACTATTGAACAGGACACATACTAGGAGCATTCCATTACTGCAGTCCCTTCTCAATCTTAGCCATGCACCCATGTAACTTACAAAGAGATGTCACAGAGGTGCATAAATTTAAGACTACTACACTTAAGTACAGCACTTAACACATAAATGGAATTTTGCTAACTTACAAAACTTTTTAAGTGTTTTAAAACTTACATTTGATAGTTCAGGTAATATTCTTTTAAGTTCTTAAAACAAATATTACATCCACATCATCCTCAAGGCATTCCCAGTTTAATAAGGCACAATTATAGCAGTAGAAGGACACATTTCAGAATTTCCTTGTTTGTAATCTTAAAGTTGGAACAAACCTATCATGTTGTATCACATTCCTGGAGGACTAGCAGACCAAAAGCAGTTTGCTTGCCATTTTGGACTGCACCTCATAAGGAAATTGTCAAATGGCAGCCATAAACTAAGTATTAAGCTCCTAAAACATAGAATTATGCAGCACCCTAAATCAAAGTGGACAGAACTAACTCCTCACTAAAGTACTTCCTCTACAACACAACACAGACAAGCAAATATCACAAAGCATCTCTATTTGCTTGATAGCCATTCTCTAGTCCTCTCTAATGTGGGTTAGTTTGACAATACTGTAATTTTGAAATTTTCAAACTTTTAGATTTAGTAGAATTTTGTCTTGATGAGTGAAAGGTTAAAAAAAAAGTATGTTAGACAGAACAAAAACTGTCTTCTTTTAGTGAAGACTGGAAGATGATTCTCTTGCCAAAGCCCTGTCTTTGTATCCCTTATTTTTCATAATTAATTTTCCCCCCTCCCCAAAATACTTTACTCTTTATGGTTAGCAACCCATAAATTGAAGGTTCAAACAACAAAGAGGAGAAAAAGTTCCTAATTTCTCATTTAAACAGCAAGTTTCTGTATATATCTCACATGGCAATTGTTTTGATTCGAGAGCATGGAAGAGAGAACAGAGCACATATTTCCAATTAGATTTTAAGTGCCTGCATATCCCAGGTATATTTTGACCACAGCATTCATGTCTGAAAAGTGGTAACTTAAGCATATTGGCTTTTTTTGCCTCCAAAGGAAAAAGAATGTAAGACTGATATTGAAGGGAAATACAACATGAAGATGTCCAAGGCTTCTATGAGGGCAGCTTCTTTCAAAAAATGAAAGTGTGAAATAGAAAGGGGTAGATATGAGGAAAATAAACAAACAATAAAAGTAGCAGAGGGAAAAACGACAACACAGAAAAAGACAGACTCACTATACCATAGTAATAACATTATAATTACTGGTGATGAGGCAAGCAGGCTACAAGTGGGGAACATCTCCATCTGTATTCTCCGTTGGACTAAAATTCTTTGATTCAATGGAAGACTGTTTTCTGGCACTCTTTTCGGCTTCACTAATTCTTGTCACTTAAAGATCAATGTTTTGGATTTCTGTATCAAAGCAACAATTTGGTTTTTTACTTTCTAAGACTTAAGTATCTTCCACAGAGGAAAATGAATGTCATGGGGGGGGGGGGGG